TCATTGCAGATGCTGTACTATCATTTACCAAAGGTTAGGAGATGTGGTTGATGTGAAGAGATGGCAAGAGTGCAGTGATCACAACAAAAGGTAGGCAGACTCAATTCTGTGAATCACAAACAGGCTATGGAAGTGGTGGGAACTTAGTAAGCACTTCTTTGCTTGTTGAAGGGGCCCATTTCCCTTCCTTATTTCAAGAACAGTCAGAGAGGGATGTTCAGGATTTCTTACTGTAATCTTCCCTCCACTCCACAGCCCCAGTAGTGACTTGATGGGTGTGTTTATCTCAACTAAGGGGCTTGGAAAGGGAATTTGCATTTATTGCTCACACAGTGGCTGAGTCCTCTGTTCGTACTGGGGATTGGGAAAATTCTGGCCCCAGAATTCAAATTCACAAGAAATGCACCCTTAATCAAGAAACAATTCTCTGTGTCAACCACAGCGACCAGGATTTGGAAAAGGTCTGGTCTGATCTACTCAAATGATTTCAACAATGGCCCTTGCCCTTTACACTTCAGGATTTCAATTTATCTTGATCATTTCTATTCCACAATTGGGGAAACCAAGGCATCAAGCCACTGCAAACTAACCAGAGACTTGAAGTTGTACCAAACTCAAGCTGGTAAATCAGAGGCAGTGTGAAATAGGCTGTTATTAAGCTGGACTTAAAAGTCAGGAAGACCAGATTGGGGTTCAAATCCTACCTTAGACACTAGTTGTGACCCTGGACAAGTCACTTCATCTCTGTGCCTCAGTTTCCTCATCTATAAAATGAGGGGGTTGGAATTTATGGCCTCTAGTCTTTTCCAGTTCTAAAGCTATGATCCTATGATCACTAGACAATGGGTTGTGGCTACAACTTTCTCCTCTGGCCAGGTGGATCCCAGTTTGTCTAACATGGATTGTGTAGCTCATATTCTCTGCTCTCCTGGGCTTGAGTCTCTTATTTTAAATAATTTAAAATTCAGATGCTCCACTAAGGAACCTCCTTTCCCCCACTGATTATTTGTGAATAAGTAGGAGTGTGGCCGCAACTCCACTCTTTTCTGATGGACTCTACAGGAGGGAAGATTCCACTCAGCTCAGGGATATGGGGATGATTCCCCTAATTTTTGCATTGATTAATCTCTAGCCCAGGAACGCACAACTCATAAGTCTGCAACTTCTGGCCACCCAAACTTGCCTTAGGACACCTTTCTATTTCAGCCTCATAATCAATGTGCTGGCAGAGCCCTGGGCTCATTTATGCTATCAATGGTTCTGGGTTCATGGGCTGCACTGGGGTCTTTAACACCCTGGGCTCCAGCCTGTGAGCTGGGAAACCCTCCTTTGATTCTATCTTTTTGTGTCTCTTCCTTGGGGATATGAGATAACCAAGTGCTCAGGTAGACTCCCTGTCCAAATATTGTAATGGAGTGTTTAAAAAATCACCAGTCTGTGGTTATGTAAATGCTCCTCCTTACCCACTGGACAGAAAGAAGAGTGATGCTTAAACATGTTACAGCTGTTACCTAGGAGAAGCTGGAGTACAATATCTAGTGGTCGAGGAGGGTGAACCCAGTGACAAAAATGAGGCTGAAGATTTTCAGTTATGTCCTTCACACCAAGGACATCTGAAGGTCATCAGTGTTCACTTATTCTTGGTACAGTCCTTAAGAGAGGCAGCCCAATCATCTCGAATGTTCAGATATACACAGTGTGGGCCACACTGCTAACCAGTGCCAGACACTCTGCTTTTGGCATTCCAATGTACAAAATCCATACACTCTTTCATTTTCCAAAACCCTGTCCTGTTCAAATTTGTAAAGAACAGGCTCTCACACATACTGCTAACTTCCCAGAGGTGACACTGGGACTCAGGGCAAAAGATGGAAAGTACCCCAAAGCCAGAGAGAATTTTCAAGCCACGGTGAAAAATAAATGCAAGAAGACCATGCCAACTGTATATCAAAGGAAGGAAAATCTGCAGCCTCATTTCAGGGACTTGACTCAGGCCACTTCTGGCTGGGGGGGAAGAGGGAAGTTTGGAAGGAAGAGAAAAAGGAAAAAAAAAAAAAAGAACAGAAATGTAAAGAGCCCTGGTCACCACTTGCAGCTTTGGAAATTGAAGTGGAGGAAGTGGAGAGAGATAGGGGGGCTGCAGAAGTTGACTCATCCAGAAGAAAGATTCTCATTTTCAAGTGCTGTACCTCCCCTGACTAAAATTGCCCAGAATGAGGTGTAGCGTGTGCCAGAAAGAGTCCAATGAGACTCTGTGGGGACTAGAGACTCCTCTTTCCAGGGTACCAGATAGGGTGGAACGCTGAACTATCATTCCCTGATGATGGTCCCAAGAGCTCAATTCTACTGGTCTACGAATACTTGAAGTATAAGCAAAAACCAAACCAGACCAAAACACTAAAAATATCCCTTTCCAATGATAAAGGGGCTTCAAGAAACAGAGTAGTTAAAGTGCACAGTTGGGTGTCCTTTGGAGGCCCATTAGAAATCCACCTAAAAAGGACTTAAGGAACACACAAATCCAGAGCGAGGAGACTTGGTAGGCTTGGAGCGTTTTCTCCTTAGAGAAAGTGGAAGAGGTGCTACAAGGAATTGCACCCTCCGTGGACAACCCAGAAACCCTCCCTTTTGGGGGGAGTTATCAGCAGTGAAGCAGGAAGATTGAAAAGTGGTGAGGGCCTAAGGGCTGGGACTGATGATAGTTTTTTTTTTTTTTTTTTTTTTTTTGTGGTACTTGTATGATGTTCAGCAAATTGAGACAAATCTACGAAAGGCCAAACAACTGCAGAAAGACCTAGATGGCAAACTCCCTTTGTAAGCTACTGATCAGAACTGTCAACTATGGTTCCTGGTTACCAAAGACTAATCGAGGAAATGCAGTATTATTTTTATAATAGTTCAATCCTTCATGATTACATCCTCCTAAGGAAGCTGGGAAACAATGAATGAAAGAGACTAGATGGCACATATTTGACAGTTCACTGCAGCAGCTCACACATGTGTTGTGTGTGTGTACGTATGTGTGTGTATGTGTGTGTTTGTGTGTATAAGCAGAAAGCTGCGCTCTCATTTTACTGTTTTGATAAGGTGCTTCGCAGTTTGATAGATTTCTATACAAGAGACATCTCTGTAAACACAGACAAGGATATACCAATATGATGAAGATATGCAGCAAGATAAGGACTTCCTGAACACCCAAAGAGGTTAAAAAGACATATATGTATACCCTCCCCAATGGAAAAAAAAAGCAAATAGAAAGGAAAGGCAACTCCTCTCTCCACCCTACAAGATTCTGAAATGGATGAAAGGGCCTTATTCAGACTCTTTGAAAAAAGGGTGAGATCCTACGTCTGCCATCAGAGGAGAGCTCATTGGGAGTGTTAAGATCAGGTATGCATTTGGGGGTTGGGTTCTAAATTGTTGAACAGATTTTGGAGTGTTCTCTTATTTGTAATACTGTGCCCTAGGAGGAAGAGTTTGTGACCCTTCAAAGGCCAAAGTGGAGAGGAGAAAAAAGCATCATGATTGTGCTCTCCACTTGGCTAGGAGGTTTGTTGTGTCGCTTTGGTAGGCAGAAGGATTCCTCTGTCACTCTGGCAGATCTCAGAGTGTTTTCTAAACTTCTCTTTTGCTTTTATGTAATTGAAGACTGGGAAGGCATGTTTTGGGGATGTGAATAGAGTTATGCTTTGTGTTTACTAGGCTTCAAGCTCCTACGACCAGATTCAACAAGAGATTTTCTTTAATAGTATGAAACCAAGTGACCAGGTGTACATGTCCCAAGAAAGAAGGCTCAGTATTACCCAGCTGGGAGCCTGCAAGGGCCAGCTTAGTGTGCAACTAAACCAAGAGTACTCACTGCTGATGCCTAAAGAGTTTGTAAAGGAAAGAAGAAATGGAAGGAAAGAAAAGCAAATGGTCAGGAAGTCCTTATAAAACTGCAGCAAACACTTAGAGTTTCAAAGCTTCGTGGGAACCCTGTGTGCTAATCCCACTTTAAAACAAGCGCAGATACCTGCAAGTATAGGGAGTTCAAAACCCCATCACACCAGTGTCTTAAGTAAGTGGCAAGGGCCCGTGGCCCAATGAAGCCAGTTTTCTGTTGAACATCTCAGTCAGTTTGTTTTGAAGTGGGAATGGGAACGATCACACAATTGTGCAAACAGTTCTAACTTGTCCCTAAGCTAGTAGCACTGGAAAAGAACTGGAAGAACAGTTTTCTTTCTCACTGCCCATCTATGTGCGTCCACATCCAGACATACACAAGGTCTACTAAATGAAGTAGCTACAGCTCAAGATTGCTTTTGGTGACTGGGGATCCCTCCATAGGGGCCTCTTCCAAGTCAGCTCCTGGGGGGTAGGGTTTTAACTGCTCTTCTTTAGGCTTAGCTATCCTGTTTCTAATCCTACTGTAATGTCTTTCCCCACCCTAATACTCACTTGGAGTCCCTTGGGATTAGATGATGCCACCTGTCCCCTAGTCAAGGTCTTCTCTAGTGCCAACTGCTCTGTGCTCCGATGTCTGTCTCAACCCTCTTTCCTAAGGAATCTAATCACCCCTCCCCCTGGCCCCCTTAGGGGGAAAAAAAACCCCACAACATAATAATTTAAGACCTTGGACTAGAATGTTAATGGCACTGAAAATGTAAGCTCCCACTAACCCTACTCTGTTAGGTCTCTAGTGACAACCAGTACACCATCCCTCTCCCAACAGGGATGAATGGAGGGCAGGTGCTGGTGTACCCTAAAAAGCCTGATAAACAGCTTGTCTGGTCAGTAGTATATGCAGCAAGCCTTGTTGAAGGAGCCTATTATAGAAAAGTGCAAAGCTGCTTCTGGCCCTGGTTAGGTCTTCAACCTGACTGTGCTTGTCGGTAAGAAAAACATCCCAAGTGCTCCAACTACTCCCACCCTGAAGCCACGAAACTCTAAGTTGACTGAAAAAAAAAAAACCCTTTTTAATTTCAGTTAATCGGGAAGCTTTGTCCGAGCCCTGCCCATAAGGAGAAGAGACAACAGCTGCCTTTATTCTTTTGTTTTTTAAATCCACTTTTTAAAAAGTCAGCTAACTCTCTCTGTCACGGGCGTCCGGCTGTCCACAGGCTCCTCTCGGTTTGGCCTTGGCATGGAGGACGAAACAATGTCCTTTCGGTCTCCCTCTGCTCGATGTTTGAACTTTTCTGCTGCCGCAGTGGTGGTGGCGGTGGCGGCAGCAGCAGCTGTAGGCTGAGTCTTAGCGGGCTCCTTTGTGCAGCCATCACTCTCGGGTGGACCACCTCTTGGCATCTTCTCTTCTTTGCAAACTTTGCTGCTTAAGTCCTGAGGTTCAGGGGGGCTTTTGCTGTCCTTGGAGCTCTCTGGCTCAGGGTGAGGAAGGGGTGGGGCCTTGGGTGACTCTGAGGAAGGGTAGTAGTGGTGGTGGTGGTACTGTTGCTGCTGCTGTTCCTTTTTCGGGGGGGAAGAGGAGGTGCTACCACTTCGCCCTTTGGGACTGCTCTCTTTGCTTTTCCGACCTGGGCTCTTTCCAGGCTTGAGTCCTTTCCCACTCTTCTCCCCCACAGTTGAGACAAGCAGAGGCTTCACCACTTCCTTCACCTCGATGCTGACGGTTTCCCGGGTCTTCCGCTTTTTGATGGGCAGCACAGTCTCATGAATGGACCTGATGGAAGACTCTTTGATTGCTTTCTTCTTGGCTTCGACAGCAGCTGCAGCCACCATACTCCCTGGCTTACGGCCCCGTTTCTTAGGGATGACCTGTGGCTCGCTCTCAACTTTCCGCTTTCTGCCAGGGCGTTTGATCACCATGACTTGGGTGGATGTGGTGGCCCCACCCCCTTCAGCTTTCCCCCCAGGTGAAGGCTGAAAAGGCATCTTGACTAGGAGCTTCCCAGGACTTTTCTCAATCACCCTTTTGACCTGGACCCCCTCTGAGGCTGTTGCCCTGGGTTTCACTGTGCCGCTCCCTTTGGGCCGTCCCCTCCCTCGGCCTGTCCCTGGAGCCTTGGGGGATTTGGACTTCTTAGGTGGTTTCTGCTCTCGTCGGGAGGGGCTCCCTCTCCCAGTTACCGTGAAGTCAAAATCATTAGGGTCCAGGGAGGTGTCGCCTACCTTTTCGAAGTATGCAATCAACTCTACCTTGGAGCGAAAAGCTTTTCCCTGTGGACTGTGGAAGAGAAACAGAAAGAATGACCATTAACTATTATCCATGGAAATGTCATAGGTGGGAGAGGTAGAAGATGACAACGAATTCTTTTATAGAGAAGAAACTTCTCCCTTCAAGTCAAAGTGTGTTAAAAATAGAGGCAGAAGAGGGTCATGATGTGAGAACCAGTGCAGTGCAATGGAGAGAAAGCTGGATGATGAATCAGGAGTCTTGGTTTCTAACCCTGCCTCTATCATTACTGAGCTATGTGATCTTGGGCAAGTCACAACCTCTTTATGCCTCAGTTTCCTAATCTGTCAAATGAAAATTCATTCATCCAACCCTCATTTCTTCAGCACTGACTGTGTGCATAGCACTGTGCTGGGAGCTGGAGGAAATGCAAAATTTGAAAAAGATACTGTCCTCATGAACAGCACAGTCTAGGAGAGAGAGAAGACACAAATACAGATAATTCTAACACCCAATATTATATAAGTGAATCAGTAAGGCACAAGACGAAATGCTTCTGAGGGCTAAGGAGAAAGGTTGTAGTCATCTTGGAGGATTAGGGAAGGCAGCATTTGAGCTGGTCTCTAAAAGATGGGTGGAAATTCAGGGAGCAAAGAAAGAGAGGGAGCCATGTCAAACATATTTAGGCGGCAGCTGGTAGTCCTCTATGGTTGGAGCACATAGTATGTGGGGGGGAGCAGTATGAAATAAGGTAGGGTGAGGCCAGGTTGTAGAGGAGGAATTCAAATGTCAGGACAACTAGTGAGGATTTTACTTGGTAGGAAATAAGAGCAATGGAGTGTCATAAGCACTTCTAGGCAGAAGATTTCTTTCTTTCTTCATTCATTCATTCATTTTTAGAAGCACCAACAGTGAAAAGAATGGGTTGGAAAGAGGGAGAGAGAGAGGCAGGAGAATCTGAAAGAAATCTCTTGCAATGGTCCAGGTGGGTGCCAATAAAAGCCTACAATAGGGTGGGAACAGAGAGAAGAGGAAGGATGGGACAGGTATTGTGAAGGTTGTATCAATGAACCATGATAACCACCTGGATAGGAAAGGTAAGGGAAAGGAAAGAGGCCAAGAAAAATAAGATTCTGAATGTGGGAGACTAGAGGGGAGATGGGCTCAAGACAGAATTAGTGATGCCAGGAGGGAAAGTAGGTGTAGGGGGAAGAGAAACTCAATTTTAGACATACTGGGTTTTAGTTGCTGGTGGCATATCAAGGTAGAGGTAGCTTGCTGGCTATAGGGAGATGTAAGTCTGGAACTTGGAGGTTAGATTGGAGAAGCAGACTTGGAAATCATTCTTATAGAGGTGGTAGATGAAACCATGGGAGGGAATGAGATTGCCAAGGGAGAAACTGTAGGGAGAAAAGCGGGCCAAAGATAGTCTCTTGGAGAACACTCACTTTAAGGGGTTGAGAGAAAAGGATGACGATCTAGCAAAGGAGACAGAGAAGAAGCAGCTGGAGAGGTAGATGTGATGCCTCTAGGAGCATGTGGCGTCTCTGAAGCCAGATAGCAGGTCAGTGTCTAAAGCTGCAGAGAAGTTAAGGAAGAAGAGGAAAAAGGCCACTGGATTTAGTGACTGGTTGGTCATCAGTGCAGTTTCAGTAGAGTGGCTGGGGGAAAGCCAGATTGCAAAGGAGTGAAGGGAGAATGGAGAAATGGAGGCACTGGCTAGAGAGAATTTTTAAAAAATACTTAGCAGTAGAAGAGAGAAATGAGGTGGTAGCTGGAGAGAAGAGAGAAGGGTCATGAATAAGCTTTTTAAAGGATTGGGCAACCTGAATATACTTGGAAACAGGAGCAGGCGGGGGGGGGAGAGGGGGAGAGAGAGAGAAAGAAATTGTCAATGAATGAAAGAAAGGGAATGGCTTCTAGAGCAAGGTATTTGGGGAGGTGGGAGGGAAGGAGATCATAGGTTTAGAGCTAATGCCTTATAATTTTCCAAACATGCTTGTATACATTCTTATTCAATTTTCATAACAACCCTGTGAGCTAAACAGGCTAAGCAGACCTTGTCTCTCTGAGGCAGGGTGGCATATATGGGAAAAAGCATCGAGGCAGGGGAGATCTAGCTCTGAATGTAACATTGGATGTTTATTAGTTATATAACCATACATACATCACTTGACCTTCCTGAGTTTCAGCTTCCCCATCTATAAAAATGGAGATGAATGTATAAAGCACTTTGTAAACCTTAAGGCAATACAGAAATGTCAGCCAACTGCGTTACCTCTAAGATCTGAAACTTTGAAATTTTACTCCCTGCCTACAACCTTCTACCCTCCTACATCTCCCACTCACACTAAACTTACTTGGTCTTCCAACTATAGTCAGAGGAGGAATGAAATAAGTAGTTGGTGTGTCCTGGCAAAGGGACACCTCGACAGCTATTTGTCAGCCTGACACAAACAATGGCAAGGTCTGCCTGCCTTCCCAGGGCATGTATCCAGGATGTGACAGAAAGCCTTTTGAGAACTGTCAAATCTAACAACCACTAGCCAATTTGGGTGATTCATGTGTGTACAAATGATACCACAAGAAAGAACTTTAGAAGCACTGCTAGAGTGAGTATGAACTCCTGCGTAAAAAACTGAAGACCTTGGGTACCCAGGTATGGTTTTTATCACCACTATTTATTGTATTTGGTAGACTCAGAAGTGAAAGGAGGATTTGGGAAATTAAGAACTGTCTACTCTAAACACTTGATGTCTAAGAATAGGATTTGGATTTCTGGATCATGGCTTAAAATATAGGAATGACAGGTCTTGGCAAGGGGTGGAATGTCCTTCATATCAAGTGCACCCAAAAATATCTGCCTGGAGTCTTGTAAACTCTTTCACAAGAGAACTTTAAATGAAAAAGAGAGAAGGAAAAAACCCTTCACACAAAGCTGACAGACCTGGTACCAAAGAGATTAGGAGGTACAATGCAGAAGGCAGAACAGCAAAAGGGAGGACCAATAGTTCATGGTAGAAGAGAAGAGAACCCACAATGAAAGTCATGGCCTCAGATGTGCAAAGCAAGCTTAATGAACACTGCACCAGAGATATTGATGCAAGGATGAAAATGTGACCTCACAGGGAACATGTACCACTAAGATTTGGCTCCTGACTCTAATTTAGCTCTGAGAGGAATAGCAGTGAATATTAACCTGGAACCTTGGAGGAGAAACATAGTAGAAAACACCTGAGTGCAGATCAACAGATCATTTTGACAGAATGGGGAATCAGATGAGGAGTTTGGGCAATAGATCACAAACCTGGAATGGAAACACTGATACTGTAACATGGGGAACTCAACTATCTGGCCATTTGCTGGCACACTCTCATGGCCAAGAACAGGGCAGCCAATAAATTGGTGACCTGCCTTCATGATAACCTTTAAAAGGAAGAGGAAGTAACAAAGGGAACTACTATTCTGGACCTGATTCTGATCACTGAGTAATCAATACTGTTGAAGTATTAATGGCAGGAATCTTAGAGCCAAGGAACCACTCCAATACACAAATTGTGATAGCAAAGAAGAGGAAAGCCATGATTAAGGTGACATGTACCTTAGATTACATTTTACAGGAGAAAACAACATGTACATAGTGAAGTTAAAAAAATAATTCTGAGGGTGGGGAACATTAACAATTGAGGGGACCAGGAAAAGCCTTGAGTAGAAAAGCATGGTATTTTTTCCTTGAATGAAACTCCTCGAGGGCAGAGACTGGTAGTCTTTTTCTCCTCAGTGCCTGAAACATAGGAGGTGCTTAATAAATGCTTGACGGGGTGAATGAATAGCTCTACTATACTCCCTCTGGTCAAACCACCTGTGGAAGTGTATTCAGTTTTGGGTATGGAAGGGTATAGATGCGATGAAGCAGCACATTCTCCTTCACTGAAGGTTTCCAAGTTAGAGGCTGGCTGACACTTGCTGGGTATGTTAAAGAGAGAGGGATTACTGGTCAAGTATGGATTGGACAAGATGGCTTCTGAGATCCCTTCCAGCACTTAGATTCTGGGATAGTCTTGGTTCTTATGGTGGTCTGAATTAATTCCTATTCTCCAGGCCCATCTACCTTACTCTGGCTTTACTTGTCTCTATACATAGTCTTGATCCTATCACTGGCCACATAAATGTCTCATTTAACTATTTCTCTTCTCTATCACATAAGCTGAAACATACATGCCTACTGCCTACCCCAAATCTACTGTTTTGCAGGTTACTATCTAGGATTAACTAGTTGACAATCAGATGAAGCTCTTTTTTGTATCTCTTCAGTTAGATGCCTAAAGCTGGCCAAATATGCAAAACTTCTTTTAGAGGCTTATCATCCTTTCAGGTTGGGGTTATCAGTACTCTGTCAAAGGACAGTATATTCAGTAGCAATTGGTAATGATAAACAAGATACCTTACAACCTTGATGAGTTTTTTTTTCTTAAAGAATAAAATGTTTCTTAGGAAAAACTTGCTCTCCTTCACTGTGAAGCACTTTAAGTAATCCCTTGGGAGATCAGTTGGCATGACTAAATTTTATAGATGGGGGAAACAAGAGACAGAGAGGTTAATAATTTTGTCAAAAGCCAGGTGGTTCTTGCCTTTCCTTTTAAGCTTCTCTTTTTTTGGGGGGGCAATTGGGGTTAAGTGACTCACCCAGGGTCACACAACTAGTAAGTGTTAAGTGTTTGGTCTGAGGCTGGATTTGAACTCAGATCCTCCTGACTTCAGGGCCGGTGCTCTATCCACTCCGCCACCTAGCTGCTCCTGCCTTTCCTTTTAAGCCTGAGCTCAAATCATAACACCTATCTCAGTGGTTAGGATACTAGTGAGCTATAAATGGGCAGATCATGACAGCAATCTTGACTTAGCTTAAAATGGGTTTCTTCTGTCTTTAGAATGACAAAATTTTTAAGCAAGTTTTATGCTGGGCAATGTGTTCTTGAGGATAACATGTCCAGAAGATTCCTTGTTTCTTTGTCTTAAAGGACCCTACAACATTTCCCAAACTCTGGAGGGATTCAGGCAGCATGTATCCAGCATGGAACAGGAGAAAGAACAGTGAACCTAGTCAGGAGAGGCTCCGGTTCAAATTTGGGCTCTGCTGGGCATATCATGCTCCCTTTGGAAACTTTGGTTTTCCCAATTGCAAAATGGGGATACTAACCCATTTAACAAGGCTGTTGTTAGGAAAATATTTTGTAAATCTTATAGCACTATATAAAATGTGAGCTATTGTCATCTGACCAACTGAAGTTATTTTTTCGCTCAATTAGTGAGTGTGTGTCAGGTATAATATTTCCTCTAATTGCAAGTGAGAGGCTTTTTTTTTTTTTTTTAAACAGATAGAAACCCAGGAGGGGAGGTTATTGGGGATATTGAAACTGCTCTAACCTCTCTCTGATTTCTGCTAATCTTTTAAATATCAGTGCTGGAAAGTCAGGGTTTTCCTCATAATGAGCTGGTCTCAGGCAGGACCCAAGACTCAACTGTTTCAACAGTACAAACCCACTACAGCAACAACTGTTTCCACATGTGAACAGAATCAATGCGAAGGCAAGAAAGAAGAGGATTCCCTGGAGCCTTGGGAGTGGGGGCAGTTGTGTGAGGCACAGAACTCCTGAAAAGTCCCTCAAAGCTAAGTGTACCCAGAACTGGAAGCGAAGAGAGGTACACAGTGGGACACCCTTGCAACACCTTCTCCAACTACAGTGTGCAACACGCTATACAGCCAGCAGGCACATAACTGGGGGCACCAGCAAACTAAAAGGACAGAGTTGAGTTAGAAAACTTGCATTTTGGTTTGGCATAAGCTTGAGAAGACAATGATAAAAGAATCTGTTTTATAGGTAAGCTTCACCTATTATGTCAGGATGGATATTTTGAGTAACGTGAAAAGTATAAATACTACGGAGAATGAGTACGAAGAGTTTGGGAAAGGAGAAGAAAAGGAGATTTAAAATGAAAGTTTGGGTAAGAGAATTCTAAGCAGGTTGTGAGAATTTGGAAGCAGTGACTACTATGAACCAGTATGAGATTATTAAGAACAAGTCATGCTAGCCTAACCATTTCCTTTTCTGACAGGATTACTAGGCTGGTAATCAGGGGAATTCTATAGACATAATACATCTAAGCAAGCTATTTGATAACTCTTACAATAGCCTTGTAGACAACATAGAGAGATAAGGAATGGGTGACAGTATAATTAAGTAGATCTGGGCTTGGCTGAATGACCAGAAAATGACCAAAGAATGGTCTTTAAAGGACTGGTGTACTGGAAAGAGGGCACCTGCACAGAGAACCTTTGAACCTACTGCATCCAGCTTTTTTTTTTTTTTTTTTTTTACCAATGACTCAGGTGAAAGGCATAAACAATATACTTTCAAGTCTCAGAAGATAGTAAGATGGGAAGAATAACCAACATGTTGAATAACAGAATTGTAAACCAAAAAGATCCAACAGTCTGCAACAACGGGTTCTAGAAATAAAGATAAGTGGGGGAAAGATGTGTCTGGGCAACAGTTTATAAACTGGGCCTGAAGAAGAAATTTAGTGTCATCAATGCTGTCTTCAAATACTTGAAGGGATGTCATATGTCAAATCACTGTTATGCTTAATCTCAAAGGGCAGAACTAAGGCCAACTGCTGAAATTTTTAGGATGGTGTACCTTCCCCACCACCCCATGTAACCATGTAAACTCCCTGAGGGCACACATAGTAAGTGATTAATAAATATTTGCTGGATTGGCTTGGGAGCAAATTTCAGCTCAAGCTAAGGAAAAACTCCCTAATAATTAGGTTTATCTAAAGGTAGAACAAGTTACTTTGAAAATTAAAGGGAGAGAGGGGAAGCCAACTGGTTGGGGATATTGTAGAGAGGATTCAGATATGAGTTGGACTGGATGAATTTCAATGACCTTTCAACTTAGACATTGTTATTCTAGGATTTGAGGCCTGAATGTCAGGATCAGCCCACCTGTCATGCACCCTTGTAGCAAAGGAAACCCTGCTTCTTGGCTTATTTAACAATTTCACTAGGTCTGTTTTCTTTTGTCCCACAGAGGCCTCCAGCTCATTACATGATCTATCACAAGCCAAAGCATAAGTGGGGATGGTGGCTGCTGGTGGGTAGCAGATGTTCAATAAATGTCCGCTGAAAGACTTATTGCAGTGAAGCAGGGGAGGAGAAAAAGCCTGACCAAACAGAAGTCCTTTCAGGAGCCAAGAGAGGAAAGGTAAAGTAGGGAGTGAAGACAAAACATATCCATTTGACCATGAACTCTGTGTTTTGAGTGCCCAATCCTTACTCTTTTGGCTGTTTTAGTACAAGTCTAGCCTGGGGAAAATAACACTTGACACCATTTTAGCTACCAGAGGAAGACCAACAGAGATGCCACCATATTTGGGCAAGATGGTAAATTCTTTATTAAGATGAGCCAGATCAAGCTTTTGAGAATGCACAAGCGGTTACAAGACAGTGTCACAAGTGCTTTTGTGTATGAAATTAATCACTTCCGCCATTAAAATAACTGCTTCACAAGACAAGAAGATTTTCACACTATGATCTTCAGCAATCAAAACAAAATTTATTAGGATCTATGAACATGGATTGAATAGATGGCTAGAAATAGGGGAGCAAATAAAATAGTGTGCCCAAAGAGTAATTAATAACATAATAAAGGGCATGTTTATTTCCAAATATGTTTCTGGTACTGGCAATCCTGGACCAGAGAAGACAAGACAGAAGACGTATGGTCATCTGTCTATTTGGGAAACACCACTTTGCCATTACCATTGAGTGACTGGCTTCACACTGTTGGAAGGAGAGTTCCCAGAGGCCCTGTGCTGAGGCCAGAAGGTAAAACATCAGACTTTTGATTTCAGTGTCTTCATCTGTGTTTTAAGGAAACTAAGAGAGGGCTGGCTGCTAACAGATAACAAAAGGCAAAGCTTTTCTGAGAAACATTTAGATGATTGAAAAATTACAGTTTTATTGCTGCTGTTCAGTTGTTTTTCAGTTGTGTCCAACTCTTCATGTCCCCATTTGGGGTTTTCTTGGCAAAGATACTGGTGTGGTTTGCCATATTTCCTCCTCTAGCTCATTTTACAGATGAGGAATTGAGGCAAACAAGGTGAAGTGACTTAGACTTGCCCAGGGTCACACACTAAGTGTCTGAGGCCAGACTGGAACTCAGAAGATGAGTCTTCCTACAGTTTCATTGAGGAGTAGCAAATTTTTTTGTAAAGTACAATTCTTCAATAGAGCTTAGGTCTTGGGGCTCATGTGACCAGATCTAGTCATTGGAGAGTGGTGTTGATTAGGATTCTTTGTTAGGAGCACCTAGGAATATTTACATTCTCGGGATGGGAAGAATAATGCTCAGGACAGACAACAACAACAATCAGGTTGAAGGACAGCAGGGTTCACTTGGCCTATTAAAGCACTGAAACAATGGATTGCAAAGGGCTATTTCTTATATATAGGACAAATATCAGTGAAAAAGGACTAAACATTGATAGTTGAGGCCTCCTTGCACTTCACAATCTGTTATTATTGGATGTCTCCTTGGCCTCAAACCCACAATCATGCAACTAACCAGGATAACTGGGACAATTTAAAGAAACTCAGTATTAGCATAGTGGGAACTTTGGATGCATTAAAGCAGTGTGGGTCACACCATCCAGAGACCAGGGAAATGTTTGCACTAGGGAAAACACATATCTCTGGGGAAAAAAAAAATCACACCATTGCCAACTGGAAAATAAATATGGCTCTTATACCTGGGATACTTTAATAAAGATAACTACTTAATGTTTAAAGGGACCAAATGTCTAAGAAATGCTTAAGTTTGAACTCTATTAGGACTGGATTTTACAATTACCAGGGAAGCTTCATCATTTAAAACCACACCTGATGAAGTGCTATAGCAGGCTGTAACCCTATTCTGACCCTTGCCAAAAATCCTTTCAAGCATTAAATGGCATGTTTCCATGGTAGGGAGGTGAGGTGTGGTTAGTTTCTGTCCAGTAGTCTTCAGAAGAATTCTCACACTAACCAGCATTTTCATAACCTTTATAAGCTCATCCCAAGTCATTGGACATTTGTCCTTCTTTCCATTTGCCACAGCTAGAAGGTCAATCTAGCTGGCTGGCCAGGGACTTGGGTGTTCCTGGAATGCTTCTAATGGGAAGACTCATAGCTCTCCCTCCAAACACAAGTCTAGAAAGACTTTTAGTAGTTTAGTAGTTAGGGAGTTTGGGTCACTCTGCCACAGCTCTTTCCTACCTGTGTGAATGGCTAATTTTTTCAGCTTCTGTCAGACAAGTAGCTTGAATACAGGATCATGTCTTAAGACTGATAAACAACGAAAACTTCTGTCTGGTTAAAATAAATTCCTATTTACTCTCCATATTATTGCTCTCTTTTTGAATTCAGTTTCTAAGAAAGATGACCCCCCTGAGTGGCCTACTGGGTACTGGTCATGGAGGTACAGCCTATGGGGGGCCACTGGAATACAGTGGGAGATCTGGGTCACATGCAAGTGGCAACTGTTACTTCACATGATGCAAAGTAGAAGATACTCAAAACACAAACGGAGGGTCAAGAAAAGCAGGCCACTCCAATGCCATTCCCATCAGCTTCTGAGCATATTTCTAATCCCCCACCCAGTTGTCCCCTTCTCCTCATTCTTGTTCTTACTCACTTGATCAAATAGACATCGTACTTCCCGGCGGAGCGGCCTGATTTCCTCTGCTTGAGTTTTCTTGTCCAGCCCTCTGGCAGCGTGGGATCATCATACATGGGCCCCCGATCTCGGATGATAGAACGCCGTTGCTTAGGGGAAGCTGAAGCTTCAGGTGCAGCAGGGGCTGACCCAGCCTCTTCTGATGTTTCTGCTTTTCCCGCCTCTGCTGGCTCAGCAGACTGGTGTGATGATGGCTGTGGGAATTCATGTTTTCCTTCCTTCTCCTCCTTTTTATCCCTCTTCAACTTTCTGAACTTCAGGGGTTTATCTCTGAGGCCCTGGAGGTCTTGGTCTTCAGACTGTTCTTCCCTGAAGCATTAAATAATCATGTAAGTATCACAAGAACACCACAATCTGCAGAATGTTAAACAATGGGGAGCCCAAGGAACTCTGCAACCATAACTGAAATTCAAGGTATGCTTTTTCCCCATCCAATAATCCCAATCTTTCTGTTCTTTCCTGATGGCCAAGCAGTCCATGAAATTGGAGGCCTCAGTCCTAGGACAGTTTCCTACCATGCTGCAGCAACAATTACAACTACTTGAAGCATCTGTGATTTCATCACTGTGGAGAACTACCAATGTGGGAACACCACCCCCACCCCAGTAATGTGGATCACAATCCATGACTTAGTGGATACAAGTCTGGGAAAGTTGCTTGAGGCATGGAAAAGATAAGTGCCTTGTCCAGAGGCATTTACCAGAAAGTATCAGGGGTGGAATTTGAACCCAGGTCTTCCTGATTCCAAGTCATGGACTCTATTCACTATGTCATCTTATCACTCACTCAACAACCCATCTTATTATAAGAGTTTGGAGGAAGTAGGAGACCAAGGCAGTTTGTTTGGCTTCCAAAGCCTAGTCTGAGGCAGATGGCATTTAGCTTATTGGGAAGTCTTGGCTGCCAGATAGGGAGGTGCCCCCAAATGAAGAAGAGTAGAGAGGGTGGTCTGCTTCAGGTTGTAGGTTTGGATCCCAAAGACTGCTGCACTTGGTCTACAAGTGTGAAGACACACCCATCAAGACTGTGTCCAATTAAAAATGGACTCAACTTTCCATCTCTGAGTATAACATTTCTGGCAGAAATTAAATTTTGCCCTGTGGTATCTTTGGTACCAGCAAATAGAGAAGTTCAACATTCAAAAAAAGGCTGCCCAATATCCTGGATACAGGCTGGAAGGAAATGATCCTGGGTCCTGGTTGCCTTAATGATAATACTCTAATGGCAGAAAGATTGCCGTTGGTATGGTTTCATTTTGCTGAATGAGTCAACATGCAGACATGTGACATGATGTCACACTTCCGCTGGCATGTGAAATCCCATTATTTCAGCACTAAGCAAACAGCACATCTTTTCCCTGTTGGTCAAAAGCAGTCACTTCCCTAGATAGTGGGAATTGCAAATTTCTTTCTTTCCTTAGGGTTGAACTCTACCCTGCAGATGTCAATACTTGGGTCAGGCCTCACCAGTGAGGTCCCAACCTACTGGGTAGAACTTTGATTCAACTGAAGAAAGAATGGTGACATGATTCCAGAGTAGCATGGGGATTAAGGAAAAACCAGTACCATTTCTTTGTCTCACCACTGGTAAGACTGGTACTGCTTATTTAGGCAAAAGGACAAGAACAGAATTTGGGCTAAGAGAAGCTTAGAGAAGGAACAAAAAAAATTGGATCCCCTACTAAAACCTGCTGATTCATAGCTCTTTGCCAACTGTCCACTTCTTTACTCTCAAGGTAAAACAGAAGACCATCCTTCTCTCCCATATTTTCTAGCGACCAGAGAAATAGCATATTCTATTACAGTTCAGCACATTAGGTACTACCATTTCTCCCTGCCCTCTTGGTTTGGGCTCATGAACAAGTGGCTTCTGTCAGTACTGTTTAAAGGTCGCCTTGGCCCCAAATTGCTGGGTATAGAGTTCTTAGTAGTGGACAGACTATAGTCACCACTTCCTCACAATTTAGAACATCATCCAGTTTGAATACCTGCTCTCTAGTTTTTTTTTTAATTTAATTTTTTTTTTTTTTTAGGCAATTGGGGTTAAGTGACTCGCCCAGGGTCACACAGCTAGTAAGTGTCTTGAGGCCAGATATGAAGTCAGGTCCTCCTGACTCCAGGGCTGGTGCTCTATCCACTATGCCATCTAGCTGCCCCGACCTGCTCTCTAGTTGCAAGAACCCTATGGTATCTGTCAAAGCAACACTGATACTAAGAGGTTATATTTTACTTCTCTAGAATTACCTTTTATATACATGACTATTAAAACACTAATGCTGATTAGCACTACTACCTTGTTAAATGTGAGCACCTAGTATTATACCTTAGGAGACTGGTAATATTTTAAAGGTGTGAAGGTTGGCAGGGTTGGACTTCCAATAATGACTAGGCAGAGAGAGATGCTATGATGGGGATTTTCAACCAAATGAAACCATTTGGTAAAAGAAACAAACAAACCAAAAAACCAACCTGGTAAATCTTGACCCAACAGGAAAGCTTTATTATAAGTACATGTATGTAGACAATAGCAATAAAGCAAGGTATGTGTTGGTTTGGCCTAGGCTTGAATAGGAGGAAGAGAGCAGGTAAGATCACATTTGGGAAACTGTATAGTGTTTTCAACAACTATAAGCTATCCTTGCTGCAAAACCCCATCCATCCATCCATCCATCCATCCATCCATCCATCCATCCATCCATCCATCCATCCATCTATCTGTCTGTCTTTTCTTTTGGAGGCAATCAGGGTTAAGTGACTTGTCCAGGGTCACACAGCTAGTAAGTCAAGTGTCTGAGGCTGGATTTGAACTCACTGACTCCTGGGCCTGTGCTCTATCCACTGTGCCACCTATCTACCCCAAAAATTCATTTTTAAAAAGAAACAAACCAAAAACAAACAAACAAAAATACTGGAAGAAGGTGTTCAGTGAATTATAACTATGCCACTTAGTTGCCTTATATGTTGATATTTCTTATACATACATATATAAATATACTCTAAACATATTATATATGTATATACAATATGTACGTATAAACTTTATTTTGAAGTTCCTTACTAAATATTTTTGGAATTTGTTACTTTCACTATAAGGTACTCAATTGAGGTGCTTCCATTACTGGGACATTTAGAAAACCAATAAAATCATGTCTGGTACCTTAGTTGAGCTCCTTGAAAAACACTAAATCCAACTTAAATAGCTGTCAGAATATTCAGCCCTCATGACTGAGCCATGCCAATAATAAAAACGACAGTGCTACCAAATTTAATTTACAATTTTAACGCTATACCAATCAAATTATTAAAGAGATACTTTAAAGAATTCAATGATAACAAAATTCATTTGGAAAAAATAAAAGCTCTAGAATATCAAGGGAAATGATGAAAAGATGTAGGAATGAAAGGAGAACAGCACTTCTAGACCTCAAACTATATTATAAAGCAAGCAGTCAACAAAACCATCTGATTTGGGTTAAAGAATAGAGAGAGAGAGATCAATGGAACAGACTAGACAAGGAAGAATCAGAAACAATGAAAATCAATAATCCAGCGTTCCATAAAATGGAAAACATCAGTTACTTAGGCAAGAACTTCCTATTTGATAAAAACTGTGGGGAAAAGCTAAGCAGTTTGGCAGAAATTAGGCTTAGACCGACATCTTACACTATATTTCACAATACATTCTATATGGATATACGACCTTAATATTAAAGATAACATTATGAAAAAATCAGAAGAGAAACAGATCACATACCTCTCATGGCAACGGGTAGGATATGTATTCTTAACCAAAGAAGGATAGAGGCAATTACAAAAGATAAAATAGATAAAGCTGATTGCAGAAATGCTTTGGCACAAATAAAATTAATGCACCTAGAGTAAGAAGGAAAGCAGTCAAATTGGGGAAAAATTTGTATCAACTTTGAGTAAGGGTTTGGTGATGTGTGTATGTGTGTGTGTGTGTGTGTGGTTCTCAAATGCAGAACTGCATAACAACCATTTGAAAGAATGCTCCAAAATCACTAATAATAAGAGTAATACAAATTAAAACAACCCTGAGGTTTCATCTCACACCCTGAAAATTGGCAAAGATGATAAAATATAGGACAAATCAATGTTGCAGGGGTTGTGGGAAGATAGATACACTAGTAACATTACTGGTGGAGCTGTGAATCCATACAACCATTTTGGAAAGCAATATAAAATTATGCAAATAAAGTGACTAAAATTTCCATACTCTTTGACCTAGAGCAATAGAATCGCTGCTGTTCAGTTGTTTCAGTAGTGTCTGACTCTTTGTGACCCTATTTTGCTGTTTTCTTGGCAGAGATACTGGAGTGGTTTGTCATTTCCTTATCCAGATCATTTTACAGATGAGGAACTGAGGCAGAGTTAAGTGACTTGCCCAGGGTCACACAGCTAGTAAGAACAGCCAGATTGGAACTGATGATCAGTCTTCCTGATTTCAAGTCTAGTTCTCTATCCACTGTGCCACCTAGCTGTCCAAATGGAATCATTACTAGACTTATACCTCAAGGAAGCCATTGATAAGAAGACCTTATATATACCAAAAAATTTATAGTAGCACTTTTTAACAGCAAAGAATTCTAAATAAAGTAAATGCTCATAGATTGAGGGATGTGGTATATAATATAATGGAATATTAATATGTGATAAGAAATGACAAATGTGATGTATACAGAAAAGCACAGAAAAATCTACATGAAATGATTCAGAGTAAAGTAAGCAGAGCTTACACACACAGACTGCAACAATGGAAATGGAAAGAACAACCATACACAAAATTTAAAAGAACAAGTATGGCTTGAAAGAGGAAGACACTTGCAGAGGTAGGATGTCCTCAGGTGTTGCACACTGGACATATTTTCAAACTTTTCTGATCTACTGATAAGTTATGTAGGTTTTTCCTTCCTCTTTTTGGTCTTTAAAAAATGCTACGTTATATGGGACGGATAGGACACTGGGGAAATCCATAGCAATGTAAAAAAACATCAATAAAAACTTTTTTTAAAAAGATGTTGAACCAATGAATTGTATAGTCAAATGTAATTAACTCCAATGACTCGCTATTACCTCCAGGATCAAATGCAAAACCCTCTACTTGGCATTGAAAGTCCTTCTTTTGAAACCTAGCTTCCTCCTACCTTTCCAGCTTTCTCATACCTTACACTCTTTGGTTCTGTGACACTGGCCTCCTGGATATTCCACGGACAAGAACTACCTTTTGCCTCTTTTTTATATCCCCAGTTCTTAGCACAGTGACTGGCACACAGGAGGCATTTAAGAAAT